ATCTTAGTAGGACACTCAAGACTGCATAAATAAAGTATATTTAATAGAAAGGCTGTGCGTGTGCGTGCATGCATTTTGTGCCTAAAAATAGTTTTCTTTGAACAGGATTCAATTTTGACTTTGTCGGCTTCACTTTTAACATGGAGCAGATGTCTGTGTGGAAAAACTAATGTCCTTTTATCGGCCAGTTAGAATTCCCCTTGCTTGGCACTGCTTCTTTTCAGCTCTTTGCTACCATGTACTTCCATTTAGTCAGCAGCAATATATGTAAATTAGTTCGAGGTGTTAAGAAATAAAGAACAGAAGATGAGAAAATGCTTTTAAAATAAGTATTTTTTTCTCTAAAAGTAATTTTGAACTCTGCTTAATTTTTCCCACTTACTTTACTAATTATTTCCACTTACCCTGCCTTAATTCTAACAGAAAAATTATGGAGTAAACTTATTTTTTTAAACCTGGTGTCTAATGTGCCATATTTTGTTCCATGAGAATCCTTTTGTCTTTCTAACGGGAGAATTAACAGAGGAATATGGCATTGAATAGGATTGTAAAATCATATTCTAATACTACAAAAATAATGCTTCCATCAAATAAACAAGAGCAAAGTCTCCTCTACTAATCAGGAATGCCCACACGCAACCATACAGTGACTTTTCATTCTGAGCAGCTCAGATGAGTAACGAGCTTTTGAGAAGACAAGGGTACGTTATCTTGTCTGTGAGTTGTGCTTTGAGTCGGTCCCCACGAGGCCTGTGAGCATGAGGAGTGAGGCAAAAGGCTGGATTTGCATCCCTGCATCTCTGCAGAGAGTATGAAGTGTGTGCTGAGTGCCAGGCTGCTGCCTCTGGAAACAAACCTGCTTGCTTCCCAGAACAGCAACACAAAAGTAAAACTCACACAAGCTTTTTTTTAATCCTTGGTAAATATTGAAATTTGCTGACATTTCCAGTCTGTTACCCATAGAGAGCTTCAGGTTTGTCCAGGGGGCAGCTCCCCGTGGGGAGCTCCAGTGGAACCATCCACTGGTTTTACTGACACCCTCAGAACAGTCAGTAGATGGTGCTTTATTCACCGTCCACCCAGAGAAAGCTGAGGCTTAAGGGTAACAGCTGAATTCTGAAGGGAAGCATCTCTGATGGTGTGTGTCTCCTGCTAAGCAAGCATTAAAAATGCAAAAATAGAAACAGTTGATTTGTGAAGAGATGGCATGAAGCTGCTCTGCTCTTAGGTTTTCAGAAGGTGTCTGCAACTTACTTCAGAGTTTTAGCCATGATAGGAATAAAAGAATGATTGAGAAGATGACTGATACTCTTAACTGTAATATACAGCACTTAAACGTTTCCTAGTTTTAAAGTAATATATGGCACACCTAAATGAAATTCATTAGGGTAGGTTTATTAAGTTTTATTCTTCTAAAACTGGCACCTTAAAATTGCTGGACTATTTTACTTTCATAAATTTTGCATTAGCAGAGAGAATATTTCATGTGTAGTTAAGCAGTAAAAATAAATGCTTTCTTGATGGCATCTCTCTTCAATGTATTTTGTTCCCATTGCTGATTGTTTGCCAACACAAATTTCTCCAGGTAAATTTTGGTTTTACTTATATAACAACGGAGTTTTGAAAGATGAAAACAAATTGTAACAGGGGGTCTGGAGACGGGGAAAGGAGGACTAGAATAGCAGTGATATTTTGTATTGCCCGGTCACAGCGGTGTTGGAGGCTGTTACTCAAATCTCTGATCTTGTTCTGCCGGATGCCTCTCCCGTCCAGCAGCGAGAGTGCCAGCAGAGGAGATGTGCAGGGAGCTGGGGGTCAGGGAGGTGCTGAGGAGCCATTTCTCAGATCAAATAGCACCTAGCAGTTCTGAAGGTATAGTTGAAATGGCACCGTCATTTGATAAACAATATTTTAGTTATCATAAGGTAGTGAGATGATACCACGGTATTTGTGCCAGTGTGAATATTGGAATTAGCCAGCTAAGCTCATTAGGAAGTGTGTGCTGGTGACTGTACAGCTCTGCTTGCACTAAAGCTTTGTTTGCTGCACGTGCCTGAGGCTGCTGTGCCTTCGTGTGCCTTTCTGCTGACACTGCCTTCACCTGAAGGTTTCATCTCAGCTTTTTATCAACATTCAAATTTGTCCTGATTCCCCCATCTTGTTTCAAATTCTTATCTCAGCATTCAGCTGGCTGGCTGAGACATGGCTTACGCCTGCATTGTGTGGTGTTTGTTTCAGTACAACTTAAAGTATGTTAAATTAAGGATGATTTCTCATCTATTAATGCTACTGCAGCAGATCTTCAGTGAGTGGGAATTTGCCTGGGACTTCTACTGCTAATGTGATTGGGATCAGGCTTACACCCATAGTAGACAACGTTTGCCTCAAAAGATGAAACTCAAAAGTGCGTTTTGGCAGCTTGAGGAGGGGGAATTGTATCAAGTTCTGAAAAAAAAAAGTTTTTTGAAGGTTGTAAATGCTTACAATATGGGAAATGTTTTGCATGGTAAGATTGTTGTATAAGTTATGAAAAGCAGGTTTAAAAAAGTACTGGCAATATCCATGCATATGGGTACCTCCTAAGATAACTGAATTTGTTGTTTGTTAATGAAATAGTGCTTGTCCCTGGGTGCTTATCCGTAGCGTATTCAAATAGATTGGATATATGATAGAGGTACAGCATACCTCAGGGAAATGAGAAATTTGCATATAAGTGAACTTGTAGCAATGGATTTTAAGACCTTTGGGGTTTCTGAACATACTTTTTTAGTTTTTAGTAAAAGGTAGAGTAAAATATTAAAAGCGTGTATGCATGCACTTATTAAATAATCCCACAAAGAGCTTTTAAGTGCAGAGATACTATCTCTGGCTCAAAATACCTAAGCTATGAACAGCTGGATTCCTGGAGGGTATTCCAGGAAAGTACCCCTGGATATTTACAATATTTTTATATTCATTCATTTCACTAACTGCTGTTGGTTATTACTTAATACTAGGCTAGATGGACTAGATGGACTTCTGGTTTGAGCTGTCCCTGTGTTCAGAGTATCCTCCCTTTGCATATATATATTATTCTTTTCCCCTGTGAGGGAAATTAGCTGTTCGTATTTTCATATATTGCTGTTATGCTGTGGCCATATGAGATATGAGCTGATACCTGATGTTCCTCTGAGACACCAGGCAACAGAGGCTGGGAACTTTGCCTGGTTCCCAGCAGTTCCCAAGCCTGCTTTGCAAATCCCATCAGCCACATCTGGGAGAACACCATCTTTTGATACATCTTTAGTGAAAGTCACTGGTTAAGTATCGCAGGCATTGTGCTTTAAATCTCCTTAGTGTTCCCAGTTCTCCACAGGCACACATAGGGCTGTCTAAACTATGTAAATATCAAAAGACTTATTTTGGCTAGTTACTGTCCCAACATCTTCTCTCACATCTATGGCAACTTTACCTGGGGTTACCTAGAATTACTCCTAAATAATGGGTAGCATGGGCCTGCTGTTACTTAATTAAATAATTCATTTGTCTTCATAATGAAAATCTCAATTTGCAACCTATTTTGTGATGTAAAAATACCAAAGCTTGGAGAAGGGCTTTTAGTCTAAATTCAAATACTGTGTTCTTTTTTGTAATTGTAGCACCTGGGAAAAAAAACTTACCTTCTCCCTGCCCCAGGAAAATAAAGGTTCTATTTTAACTGTTCAGTGTATGGTATTAATTCATGACAGGAAGTTATTTCTGGTTATACATCTGATTTCCTTTAGCTAAATTTTACCTTTTTTTTGCTTATGCGTCCTTTTTTGGTCTACTTTAATAAAGTTAATACTGCTCTTTATATAAAATGGTGGTATCTGATGCAGAGACTTCAGCCATATTCTAAACGCCGTGGCTGTCGTTATATCAGCTAATGGCAACGGCTGGCTGTGTGCCAAATGAAAGGAGTAAGAATGATCTGATTGTTAGATGAAACAATGAGACACATGAAGGGACTTGGTAATACTTTAGTAAGTACTTAATAGTACTCTTAATAGTAAATTCTCTTTTCTCATCACAAAGCTCAGTTAACAGATCACTGTTTTTGTTGGAGATGAGCATGTTTCTATTCATACCTGTCATATTTCAAATCTTAAGAGAATAAAAAATTATGAGATAGCATATTCCCTTTAACCTTCCCTTTTCCAATTTAACTGGTTCTTAACCAAACTGACGCGAGTAGGTTTTTACAAATGTCCTTACCGTGGTACTGCTTACTGTCTGTTAACTGCTTTGTTTTCAAACCGTGCTGGAATGTGCAGAGGTAGCTCCTCTCCGTAGTGACTGTTACCCATGGACTGTGTGTGTCTGTAGAGGGGTGCGTTACCCTGAGGATTAGCTGAGCTGTTCGCAGCCTCCCCCTCACTAACTGTTACCTCTGCTTTGCAGAACGTCCTCAAGGCCTGTAGGTTTGCAGGCCTGTAGAGCCCTGACCTGTTCACATTCACCTTTGTCAGTAAGCATGAATATTACTCTTTTTTGGGAGAATATTCTGCTTGTTTGGAATTTTTTTTCATTGAATAATTAAGTTCTACAGTTTGATTACTGTATTGCATGGTTGATTATTGCAGGCTATAGAATTTCCTCCTCTACTTTATGTTGTATAGATTAATCCTTTTGAAAGGGATTTACTAAATAACAGGTAGAAGAGCTATTGCTTTTGCAACTTCTTCCAAAAACTCTCTGCTTATTCATGATTGTTATAGTAGCAAAATCAGCTCAGGAAGGAGTGACCCTCAGAACACCACCTGCCTGGCCAGCCAAGAACTGAAACAAATTTCTAAGGAAAAAGTTGGGAATGTTGGTCAGTGTGTTACACTGGCAGCTGGATTATCAAACTGGTCATCATTTCATCAGGATTTTTTTTGGTCTTTATGCTTTTCAGTTGATTCATTAGATCCTTGATCTTAAGAAAAAGAAAAACCACCCAAAAAAAATCATTTGAAATTCTGTTTTGTCTTCAACAGTGCCCTTAAAGATAGTCGTTTCCCCCCAATGACGAGGGATGAGCTGCCACGGCTTTTCTGCTCAGTGTCTCTACTCACTAACTTTGAAGATGTATGTGACTACATGGATTGGGAGGTAAGGATGTCAGATATCTTTTATGAAAATTACTTTGATACCATGAACATCTGTAGCAGAAATCATACCATCTAAATTATTTTCGCATATTTAATGTAGTTGTCACTGTTTTGCACTCTACATGTTGTTTTGTGCATAGATTCAAAAGATCCTTTTGGTAGAACTGTCATCACCTCGAAAGTCTGAGCCATGAAAATGGAATAAAATTGTATTCTTGCCCATAATTGTGGTCTGCACTGACATCTAAGACTCCATCAAGCAAGGTATTGTCTGAGCGATGGTGTCCTGAGACTCCTTTTGCAGCTCACTACAGACACATGGGAGATCAGTCCATTGGAAACAAGCACTGCAAAAAATTGCAGTCCCAAACCAAGCTGCCTTATTTACCTTATGGTGTGAGCCACTCATCCTTCCCAAAGCTTCCTTTGCTTTCAGAGCAGGTGACCTGCCCAGACCCCACAAAGCCCTTATACAATGAGGCCAAGTAAATCATTGCTTTTGTTTTTCTTTGCTACTTACGCGTGGAGCTGAATCTATTTTAATTGTTAGGTTCTAGGAAGCCTGCATGTGTTCTCTTGGAACAGCAGCGTAAAAGAGATTAAGAAGCAAATGCTGCTTTTAGAGTTATTTCTGGGAAGGTATACTAGAGGAAATGTTATCCTGTATTCTTCTGCTTATTCCCAAATTATTTGGTCTTAGACACTTGCAAAAAACAAGTTACTTAAGATGAACTTCTCATCTCCCTCAGTATGACTGTTGTGTTGCTCTCTGAGTCTATATTTGAGTGGACATAAAAATTTTTTTTTTAAATTGTCATATGTGATAGTGGCCATGTTATAATGCCAGAGACACCACACAAGTTACAGTATTTCCATTTAATAATGATTTAGTCCTACTAAATATTTAGGAGTTCTTAAGAGAAAAAGAGGCTTTCTGTTGCATTCACATGGAACAAATGTATATTGAATAGAAATTTCATCTGTTGTTAAAATGGTAAGAGCCCCTACTGTATCAGAACGGTGGTATCCAGCAGTAACCTCAGCATCATGAATTTTACAGAGGCTGAAAATGTAATAAAAATATGTTTCCTGTTCAACTCATAATGATCAGGACTTCTTACCTTCTGAAATGTAATTCTGAATGAGATTAATATAAGTTCCCTTTGGGGTTTATGAGAATTTTCACCATAAACAGAATTATTCATTTTGTATGTAATGTCAGACCAAAAAATAAATCTTAGCTGAAACAGTTTGTGCATTCTCAACAAGAAGCTTTTTCAGAGAAGTAGTTTGTCTTGTCACTGAGCCCTTAGAGTACTTAAAACAACATTTTCAAGTAATCAGAGCTGTAGTAACTTTAACACTAAACCAAGCTAGAAGTCAAAATTCAAACTGGTAGAATTTTTCTGCTTTACTAGTTTGACTTCTGGCAGTAACCATAGTGATATTTTCAATTTAATTCATTTATTATAATTTATTAAAAATTAGACTTGGAATACACTCAGAAAATGTGTCTTTAAAAGTGTGAAGTGGGGAACAAAATGACATTTAGCTCTTTCCATGTGGTAGTCTATAAATCTTATTAGATGCTGTTTTATTCTCCCACTAATAAACTTCTAAGATGACCGAATTTTTCATCCTTAAAGAGAAGCTGAAACCAAAGCCAGAGTTCAAAAATCCACTCTGCTTTGGAAAGACTGGTTTTAACTTTGTTCCTGGGGAGACTCAGATTCATAACTTTAATACTTGTATGAAACCAAGGAGGCTTTTACTTTCTGTGTCCTTTCTAGATCTTGTTGCAGAATCCTTGAGACTTCACTAACAGTGTAAAACAAGTTTAATGCAGAACTGTAGTCTCGGTCAGTTCTGATTGATTTCATGGATTCTCATGATTCTTCTTACTGGAAAGCCCAGACTTACGAGGGAAGCATGGAGGGGTCAAAAATATATCAGTCCTTGTGTTATCGTTATACTTAGTTGCTCTCTCCTATTTCATTTAAGGATTTTTAATGATGGGTTTTAAAACCTTTAGCAAATTGCTAGGAATTCTAAGAAATTGTAACAAAGTAGGTTCCATGATTTGTTGGGTTTTTTTTCCTTTTTCCTATAAGTTAAACATGATTCTCAAGTAATTGTATCCTATGTAGTTGTGGATGATCCACAAGCTTTCCATGCAAAAGGGGCGGGTGGTTGGGGGATATATAAATATGAGAAAGATAAAATTTGTAATTGTTAGTCCTTAAAAGAATGATTCATCTCTGTTTGTGCCCCTGTCAGTGAGGTAGCTTACGTCATCCATGTTTCTTTGAAGGGAGCTGCAGTTATGCAATATTAATGGCAAAAAGGCATTTCAGGATGTCTAGAGTGTGACGTAAAGAGAGATTCGGCATCTTTCATCCCGTATAATGCTAAGATCATCCTGAAAAACATCAGCCTGGTTAGGAGCCCCTACTTCTGTAGGTATGCTACTGAGCATCTTGTGGGAGCTAATTCAGCAATTTGCTGACAGAAGTCATAGTATTTCAAAATTGCCGATTCAGACAACTGGCAGTGCTCTGGTGGCTTAGGGACAAGATCATTTGAAGACACAGCTCAGGAGCGTCTCCTGAAGCAGAGCGATAGATGTTCTTTTCTCTGATTAATGAAGTATCTTCCCAAATGAACTAAATTAATATTTCAGTAGTAAAAAGCAATGTGAGATCATTTTGCAGCAGAAATTCCAACCAAGGAAACAGGAGATAGGAGTGAATTGGCTGCTGTTAGCTCCCATAGGATTTTTCAAATTGCTGCCATTTTCACCTTTTTATAAAAGTAACCTGGAGAAAGTACAGGCCTTTAAAGGAACCCTTCAATGCTGTGGTTCACAAGGATTCTTCCTAAAATTTATTTTAGCATTCTTACATGTGACTTTACATGAATTGCAGTGCACTTGAACAGATGTAGGGCTTTGAAATGAGTGCTGGGAGTGTATGAACTGTTTCTTCATTTCTGCTAGAGAGAACCCGTGACCTGTTGCTGTGGTCCAGTGCTGCTGGGGTGGAGTTTCACAGCCTTTCTGTCTCAAAGAAATGGGCAACATGAGAAACTCCAAGATATACTTCTTTTTTTTTTTTTTTATAATACTGCTCTTTCATATTTTATCTTTAATAAAAGGCCTATTCAGGAGACAAGTCATAAAGACCAGTTATTTTTAAACATATTTGATATCGATAGCAGGCGTTCCTTCCCTGCATAAACTCAGCTTTATCCGTATTTCCATTCTTGAGCTCAGCTTTTTGATCTGTCCTTCTACCAAGTCTCTTCTTTCCTGCACAAATAGGACTTTCTGCCTCAGGATGCCTCCCATTTTGCTGTAAATTCTTAATGCAGATACCCTTGCATCTCCTGTTGCACTGGGAAGTGTGTGTGTCATTGGCAGCACCTCAAAAGAAGGAATAGATTGCTGTGAAGTGTGATGGCTTTGGGTCCTTTAGAAAGAACTTCCATTTGGTTTGTGAAGCCATAAGTTGGCACTCAGAAGGCCCTGGGAATTGGATTCACATCCCAGAAATGGCACACACAAGGTGGGATCATGCAATTCCAGCTTTGGTGCCACAGGCCCTGCATCCTTGAGAGGGGATGGATGCAAGGTACATTACAATGGCAAATGATTTAATGTGTCCCCTGCATGCTTTTTTTTTTTTCTAGAAATACAGAAGAGAAAAGCAAAGTGCCTTTACTCGTTCCCTCTCTATTTCATGTTACAGCAAATGAACACCTTTTAAATATTTTTTCTCATTAGTTTTTGCTCAAAGGCAAAGCCTGTCTTGCTAATTCAGACCCTCTCCCCATTTTTTTATTAACATCATAAAACATTGTGATTGTATGTAATTAGAATAAGAAAATTCTTGGAAAACATTACTATCATTCCAGCAGGGTAATAAATAACTGGAACTGACCGGTGGCTCTTCCTTAAAATACCTTGAAAGAGATCTTTGCCCTGAAGTTGCTGTTCTTCAGTAAAGTAAAATCTGCAGAATTGTACATGCTTGCTGTGTCGCTACAAAGGCCTTTAGCCTGTGTGCACTGGTTTAAATATTAGCTTAAACAGCTGTAGCCAGTAACGTTGACTGAAAGGTGGCTTTTCATTGTTGGCAAAGTTAATACATTTAAGAGTTGTGGCATTCCTTTCCTTCCTGCAAGTGCAGCAGCACCAGCAACTCTTGCAGCTTATATTCCTTAGACCAGGGAAGAAAGAGTTCTCTTTGGACAATATTCAGCATTTCCATGTATGTAAATAAATGACTTGTTAAAAAAAAAAATGGTTATCATGAAGTAGAGAGCATATCTCCTGAGTAGCCTTTTGCCTCTGTTTTTAAAGCAGAATGTGATATTTAACCCCTACTAAAGATGATGAGAAAGGAGCCAGTATATTTGCTATGAAAGTGGGGCTAAAAAGCTGTAGAATTCAGCTAATAAAAAGTGGGGTCAGCTTCTAAAAAGTAACAATAGCCACTTAATCTGAAGTGTTCCTTTTGCAGCCAGGTTTGTGTACAGCTATTTCCATAGCTGCAATTAGGTAAACAATGTTATGGGCTATCATAAGGAATACTGTACAAGTTATAGTCCATCTTTTTTGTTTGAAAATGATTATAGCTTGCTGCTGTTTAAAGCTTGAGCTGACAAACCGTGTCAGTAGAAGGATTAGCCATAACCCAGAACAGCCCAATCTGAAAAAAAGCCCAATTAATTCATCTTAAACTAATTAGTGATAATTGAATGCAACTCTCTTACAGATTTCAGTGCAGTAGATAAAACTGAACAGAATGACTGTTTACTCCATGGTGGACAGAAGCTTAAATTCCAACAAGGCTTGATGTTTTAGATGCTTGTCCAAATTCCATATTGATAGTCTAACAAGAATAATGTTATTTCTTACTGTTAGTATGGTTGGAGAGGCAGCACCAGAGGAACAGGTTTGTAAACTGTGTTTGGAACTTGGAGTCAGAACAGTCAACCATGAGACTTGCTTGAAGTTTGGTTTCAGGGTGGGTTTTGGAACAACTTTTTCTTAGCCCAAGTGAGATAGATATGGAGAGAGACACACTATGGGCAATAATCTAGCAAGTGCCTGAAGTGCTTGGCAAAACAATAAATATGGTGTGTGCACATTTGTAACTAAATTATTCATTAAAAAGTGTATAAATGAATGTGAATGAGTAGAAATACATAACAAAATCCGAAATTCTGTTGATGTCCCTTCAGAAGTAAAATGTAAAAAAGTAGTTTAATGTAATCTTTAGATTTAGTGAAAGGCCTGTGTCCCTGGCCCTAGTTTTAGGTAGCCTCTGGCCACTAATACAGTGGGCCAAAAAGTTTATATCCACAAGCACGGGATACCCAGCCTGCAGTATTTCGTGCTCTAAAACCCTATGGAAATATTTCTATTGGAGCGGGTTGGTTTGTTGCCTTTCTAAGTCTCTCTCCTTATCACACTTTCCTCTCCCAATAGCAATAGTCTATTTGTGGGGTCTTTTTGCAGATGAGGAGGGTACCTGTATGTAGTCATTTCCCTAATAAATGGTAATAGATGGTACAGAACTTTCACTCCATCTACAGGAGGAGTTTGCTGGTCTGTTCTTCTGAACTGCACAGACAGACGTTATTCTACAAAAACTCTCCCGTAGTGTATCAGTATTTTTAGTTTGAGGAGCATGGCCATAGGCTTTGTATAGTGTTCTGTGCTGAGCTGGGGAGGCAAACCAGTTACAGTCCAGTTTGTGCCTTCCAAACATGTACCAACCCCTTACCTCCCATCTTAGGAACCAAGTTTTCATCAGTACAGGATCGTTGGTCTCTTGAGGAAGTCAAAATAAATTCCTAACTGTGCCCATGCCAGTCTTAGCATGGATCACTCTTATTTTGCTTGTGTGTGGCTTCCATTTGTTTGACTCAGGCCTGGTTTTGTTTAACTGGAGCTAAACAATGAAAAGCCATTTGTACTGGACTAAGAGTAGTGCTTAGCTACGCAGTTGGAATTCATGCTTCACAGAATGCTATGAAATTTTCCCAACCAGAGGAATTGTGGGTGCAATTGTGTTGCCTTATTCATTTTGCTCTGCATCTTTTTCTTCTACAGACATGGGCCTAAAAATCCATTAAAATGGTTAATGGGAAACATCCAGAGCAATGCAATTACCTACTGCCTGAATGTTGCATCATACTTAATACCTCACTAGAGCTTCTGGTTAGTTTCTCGTGAATACTACGTGATCGCTGTTGTGCAAACCAGTCATGTAGAATTTAGAATCTAATATTCTGCAGGAACTGAAGGTGTGCAAAACCTGAAAATACTTGATTTTAATGCTTAGGCAATTGAACATAGACAGTTACAGAGTCACCAGCTGCAAAAACTTACTCTATTCTGGGAATAAACTGGGTAGGCTCATTTCAGCTTCTAACACTGCTTTATTTTACTTTCAGGTCCTTTGGGTTCATAATTACATCATCTGAGTATACAGATTTGATCTCTGTAGTGATTATGTATCCGTGTTATGAAAGTTAGGTTTAGGAGTGTTTGGTAATGAAGTATCACATTAAAATTTGCACTGAATTTAATTTGTTAGTCTCAAAGTAATTTTTCCTATTTAAGAAATGTTAGGTTCATAGGGAAAAATTATTGAGGCCACGGCCAGCCACCAGAGAGACAACTCCTCCCATTTCGCCACGCATATATCGTATATAAGGATTATAAAGATAATTAAAGTCTTAATGTAAGGAAATATGTTAATTGAACAAGTGGTAGAGTTTTGTAAATATTCCTTATTTGCCTTTTGACTGTCATGCAGTCACAGTAAAATAGGTTGTCACTAGAAAAACTGTTACTGCATTTTTCAATTAATTTTGTATCTGAAAAGAAATGCCATACCAAATAGCATGATACCCTTTTAAACATAAACTACTCAGTTCCACATACAATGTTGGGAACTTTAAGTGGAAATAACATCTTAGTTATGTGGGCATGGAAATAGAAATGTCCATCTACTAATGCTTTGTGTTTATACACAGAAATCAAAATGAACTGAAAACTTACTGGCAATGGAATATCTTTTTTGGCATGCCCCATCCAAGCACAGGTGCTCCCAACAGAATTACTGTACCTTGAAAACAGAGGTGCTTAAGGAATGCCCCGGGAAGGTGCCTGGCCTCTTGGGTTTGGGGACGGGGCGGGGTGGTGGTACTGGCAGTTCAACTTTATATCTGTCCAACTCCTTGGTATTAGTAATGTAATTAGGTTTTTAAAAATATAATTAGGTTTCCATGCTGGCATTTAGTCATATTAGAGAACTTAGTATCATGGAAATAGGAGTTTGAAGCTGAATGTTTGGGAGTATCTCCTTATCCTCATCATACATTAGCAGAAAATTTGAAGGCTTCAGGCTTGAGTTCATAGTGTGACAAATCTTTCATTGTTCAGTTGTTTGAACAAAATTACTGTTCTTAATGGAAGCATCATGAGATTTGCCAGCATTTGGTTGCCTGCAGGTTATATCTGGTGGCCAGGTGATTTTATCAGCAACAGCATTGCTGGCAGTGTCAGAGGGAGACAGTAGACCCAGAGACAGAACGACTTTTGCATCTCGGCTGGCTTTCCTTCCGACCAGAAATGAAGCTCCGTGGTGGGAGCTGAGGACCATTATTTGTGCTGCTACTGACAAGGCTGCGAGGTGACCACCTCCCCAAAAGATTGCATTTGCTGCAGTGCCACCTCTTCAGACTCTTTGCAAAATGGTATTAACCACTGAAAGGTTCACATTTGGGGTTTTATCATGTTAGAAATCTCTTGTCTCTTTTTTCTTTTAATGTACTAATGAAGCTGCCGATTTCTTGCAGGTGGGTGTACATGGCATTAGAATAGAATTCATCAATGAAAAAGGATCAAAACGCACCGCCACCTACTTACCGGAGGTTGCAAAGGAGCAAGGTCATTGTTGCACTTTATTTCATATGATCTGGTGAAGAATTTAAACATACATATAAATCTAAAATGCAATATTTGACCTTGCACTGATGTCAGATGATGGAGCAATATTTAATTGTAAGAAGACTCTTATATAAAATGCCAATTACATGCCTGTATCAGTCCCCTTATAGGTATGCAGTGAACTGTAGCTGTCCTTTGAGCAGCTGTAAATGCAGTGTAGGTGTAGGGAAAGGAACCGTGGAGGGTGGTACAGTGCTGACAGCTTACAGTTATTAAAAGCTGTCCATTTTCATATAGTTGTCTTGCTGTGATATTAGTGACATGTAAAAGCTCTGTTAAGTGATGGGATGTCTGGTCAGTTACCTTAACAGCTGATTTATTCCTAAATTTGCAACAATCAATTTATATTTTTTTTTTTCAATGAGGTACTTTCTGCGAGTACTTAATTCCTGTTATAAACACTGGCTTCCTGGGATTTTTGATGGATGGAAGGGAATTACTTGCAATATAAAAGTCCAGAATAATGTTGTTAAAGTCCCTTTCAATAGAGGCACAGACTTAAGTTTGTGAATTAAAAAAACGATAGTAGATTTTGTTGAATAGTAATCTTTTGGATTAAGCAGCTGCCTGTGACTACTCACTATGCTTTTTTCTTCCAAGCCTGACGGGGTGTCTTTTACATTTTGTATTGCTGCTTTTTTGGGTTTTTTGGCCTTTTTGTATTTGCATTAGTCTAAACCTTTACTGAGGATCACCTTTAATTGATAATTCTGTTTTCAAATAGTCACTTAAAAGCTTAGAGGTCTCCAAAGACAATTTTTTTTGCTTTTGTAATTTATGTAATTTTGTAATTTGGCAAGTTAGAGAAGGGGGGGTTTGTCGAGACCTTGGGTGATCACTTAACAAGCTTTTTGGAAATTCAGGAATGGGGTGTGTGAGTGTGCATGTTGTGTTTAAATTTCTAAATACTTTTAGCAGACCATGCATTGCAATCTGACTCTTTAAAGTACCCAAAACTACACGTTCATGTTTTTTTATGTACTGTTTTATGACTCCTTTTTTTTGCTCCTTTTTTTTTTTTTATTTAAATGTATCAGTGTGACTAATCTAATTGCATCTTTTGGAAATAATATGCCTAACAGCTACTTAAAATGTTACGTTTTAAGTAACATGGTTTTTTTAAACCAATAAATAGGAGTTTTGAACAGCATAAAGATTTTATTAGGAACAGTAAATGGGTCTGTATTTTTAATCCATCACTTCTTTTTATTACCCAGACACCTAGAATATACTACAGTAGTTCTGAAAGTAGACATATCACTGTAATGTTAAGTGTATCTATGGAGAAGTCTAATCTGAAGTTCTCTGCACATGTTCAACTAATCATTCTTTTATTTCTTATTTTATACAGAAATTTAATTTATCATGCCATCATAGTCATTTATAATGTATAAAGTGATTGTGATACATGATCATACCTGAACATTTCAGAAAAGTTAAATTTTGTATCTCACCCCCAATCTAGGACGCCTGGATATAGTGGGTCCGCTTTTAAAATATTTCAACTATGAGATTAAAATATACGTTGTTTGTAGAGTGAACCTTGTGTGTAAAGAAATCCTATATGTTATATTTCCTTCTGCTGTTCTTAAATAGGGAAGAATGTTCTGTTTTATACAGAACTTCAGCAGAGCACTTTTGTTATCAATAACACAACATATTCTACTGTATTTTTGCAACATCTATTCTTATCGCTATATTTCTAATTTTTACTACTGTGAAATCCAACAGGATGGGACCACATTCAAACCATAGATTCCTTATTGAGGAAAGGAGGCTACAAAGCTCCGATTACTAATGAATTCAGGAAAACAATAAAGCTAACCAGGTATGCATCTTGGGATACTACAGATAAGTCCTGTTTTTGTACTACTGTGATGTGTTCAGTCCTGGTAAGTGCTTATTTCAGATGTTAATCATAAGCTTTTCCTCTGTATATATTACTAATGGTTGCTTTCTTTCCACAACAGCAGTAGGGACTTGAGCCTTGCGTTGGGGTTAGTGGCACGAAGCAAGAAAGAAAAGGCTGGGGTTAAATATCAGGCTACATATGTCTGAGGGTGCCTGCATATTTTGTGCTGCTTACACTATGGCAGAGTGTTCTGGGGAGCCGAGAGCTGAATTTAGTATTGTATTTTATACTTTGTCACTCTCACTCACTGACATACTTCGATGTTGCTAATTTAATAAAACGTGTTCATGAGGGCTTCTTAGTGCGTGGGAGCCAGAATGTTTTAGAATTAGCAGCAGATATTCTGTCCATAATATTATAGTTGTGTGGTGAAGGGTGGAAGAAAAATCATCTATAAGAATGCCTCTAAAACTGTAATTTTATCAGCTTGCAGTATAAAATGACTGCTAAATTTAGTTATCTGATCCATGCTTGGAGAAAAAAGAATTTTTAAATAAGGAAGTATTGACTGTTCATCCTCTTCAGGGAGGCCGCACTTGACATGCTATTAATACAAATAACAAAGTTAGAATTCTTTGTCCAAAGCTGTTACCCTTCCTGTCTTTTATCAGCTTTTAGGGACTCACGGGGTCACAAGATTAGTTCTTAAAATGTTGTCTATATTACCCTTGTTCCTGTGTCCTGATTTCTTTGGAAATTCTTTCCTCCTTAGAGCAGCTAGGTGTAAGCCAGCCTTGACTTCCTTGTCCATAATAAAAACCTAATCCTTTCATTTCAGACATTTGAAAATACTGGTATTCTCCTGATTGTTTGTGCGCTTCTGTAGGACAGAGACCTGAGGTTTTGGTTGTTTTCACCTTCCACATTTGTCATCTTCATCTACAAATCTTGCTATTACTTAAGCACCAGTTTAGGCTTAGTCCAGATGGAAGTCAGAGCATTTCTTAGAAAAATAAACATTTTCATATTAGAGGAATTACTTGTTCAGTGATCTTATGGATGAAGAATAAAGACTTTGTGTCTCAGTGAATGTTCAGAATTCCAGATTCTTGTAGGAACCCGATTCCTATAGAGTAGCTGTCACTGAGGAAAACCTGCTATTCTGAAGGTTAAATTAGTGAGGAAGGATTTACAAAATCCAGCTAAATTTCCAAATGCAGAACACTATTTTGTTTTTATTTATTTCAGCTGTGCACCTTGTTATCTTCTATTCAAAAAGAATATATGGAGACAGCTGAGGGCAAGAGTAAGAGTTCATAAATTATGATTTCTGTACAACTCAGTAAATAAGAAAAATATTTTTCCAAGAAACAAGAATAAGCATAATTTTTAATATTCAGAAGAAAATTTTTTTCTCTCTTCTACTTAAAAATTCAGCTTCTGCTGACACATTATAAACACTAGCATTAAGATAGTAACCATTGCCCAGCATCAGACAACCTTTTTTAGAGCCTCATTTTAATAACTTCTTGTCATACAGTGAAACATCTTTTGAAACAGTGGAATAAGAGCTTTAAACTTCTTTTTCAATGCTCTCAATTAAAGTAAATGCCCTCTGTATGAAGAGAGCTTTAACGTGAGCAGAACTAGTCTGTTGCTAGCTGTCTTCAAGCTGATACCCAGTAGTTCTGGCCATGTTTTGAAGAACTAAAAAACAGCGGAGCTGAAAGGAGCGTACCCATGCTAGGGGTCTAGAATGCATAAGGATAATAACTGCATTTGCTCTTTCCATCTGCTTAAATGAGCATATGTGATTCTAGTCAGGCTGCCTTTGGCCTGCTTTGACCCACTTACAGCCAACTTCATTAACTGCCGAGCTTATGGTTTAATTTCATAGTGGCAGGGGATTTCATTCACAGAGCAGCTTCCTCGTCAAGTGCAGAGCCCCGTGCTGTTCGCATCCATTCAAGAGGAGCTGCAGCTGATGGCTCTGCAGGGACCTGCAGCCCTTGGTTAAATTATACATCATTAACAAATGCTGTTATATCAAGTAAGCACCTTTGGTGCTCTGAAAACACATCCACTGAAGCAAAAAGCTGCAAGTGTGTGATGTTCTGCTCTGTTCCTCTGGCAAAGAGGCAACAGAAGCAAATGTGTTTGCCACCTTAATTCCTGCAGTTGGCAGCTCCACAGTAGTGTAAACTCTTGTGTTGGGTTGTAAGTGCAAGTGGTGGAGCCATCTGTTGGGTTTTTTTCAGACCTAAGAGAGGAGAGAACAACCAGAGCAACTCCAGAAGAAAAATATGTTAGAAAGTAGAGGTGGCAATATTTTAGATCACTGTAGCTGGATTCACCAAATCTCATCTGTCAGATCTCTTATGCAAGGGCTCTCTAAGTGAAATTTGTGGAACTATGGAATAGTGTTGGGTTTGTGTAGATTCTACTCTTCTACAGGAAGGTGTAAATGTGGCAATATATTCCTTGTTGTCAATACTGATGCAAGTATATCCAAAATATTTGCTGTCATGGCCTGGATTCTGCTTTTAGTTACATATTGCTGGCCGTTGTTATTGCAGGACCTCTCTCTCTCCATTATTCTTCAACAGTCTTGGGAATCTAGCGGGGTCCCAGGCGACTGGAAGCTGGCACATGTTGTCCCATTTTTCAAGAAGGAAGACCCTGGTAGTTAAAGGCCTGGCAGTCTCACTTCAGTGCCGGCAAATTATGGAGCAGGTTATTCTGGGAGCTATTGAAAAACACTTGAGAGACAACACAGTCACTGATCATGGCCAGCACAGGTTCATGAGGGGAAAGTCCTGCTTTGCCAATTTAATTTCCTTTTATGCCACGGTCACCCATCTAGTTGACCAAGGGAAGGCCATAAATGTGGGTTTTCTTGATTTTAGCAAAGCTTTTGATACTGTGTCTCACAGTAACCTTCTGGAAGCAATGTCCAGCACACAGCTAGACAGTCCATAACATGATGTGTGAGCAATTGGCTGGCAGGTTGTGCTCAAAGAGTTTTAGTAAATGGAGTTACTTCAGGCTGGTGGCCAGTCACCAGTGAGGTTCTCCAGGGCTCAATTTTAGTGCTCTTTTATGTTTTTATAAATGACGTAGATGCAGGAGTCAAATATACATTAAGCTTGCTGATGATACTAAACTAGGAGGAGCTGTGGACTCCCTTGAGGGCAGAGAGGCTTTAGAGAGATATGGATAGACTGGAGAGCTGGGCAGTCTCCAGCCGTATGAAAATTAACAATAGCAAGAGCAGGATTCTCCACCTGGGACAGGGTAATCCTGGTCATACGTGCAAATTGGGAACAAGAGGCTGGAGAACATCCCTACAGAAAGAGATCTGGGGGTTTGGGTTGATGGCAAGTTGAGTATGAGTCAACAGTGTGCCCTGGCAGCCAAGGGGGCGCACCGTGTCCTGGGGTGCATCAACACAGCTGGTTGAGGGAGGTGGTTGTCCTTTGTGACACTGGTGTGGCCCCACCTCAAGTTCTGTATGCAGTTTTGGGTGTCTCAGTACAAGAAGGACATCAGCCTATGAGAGTGTGTCCAGAGGAGGGTGACCATGATGGTGAAAGGCCTCAAGGGCAAGACTTATGATGAATGGCTTGAGGTCACTTGCTTTGTTCAGCTTGCAGAAGAGAAGGCTGAGGGATGACCTCATTGTTGAGGGGTGACCTCATCACAGTCTACAACTATCTCAAGGGGGGCAGTGGAGGGGGAGGTGCTGATCTCTCTGGTGACCAGCAGTAGAACGTGAGAAAACAGAATGAAACTCCATCGGGAAAGTTCAGATTGGACATGAGGAAAAGGCTCTTCACTGAGAGGGTGGCCAGTTGCTGGAACAGGCTCTCCAGGGCAGTGGTGAGGGCACCAAGCCTGTTGGAGTTCAAGGAATGTCTGGAGGACGCTTTTAGTCATATGGTCTAGTTTTAGGTAGTCCTGTAAGGAGCAGGGAGTTGGTCTCGATTCTTATGAGCCTCTTCCAACTTGAGATATTCTAATGTAACTCCATCTAATGCAGCTGGGATTATTTTAAAAGCAGAATTTGGCAGACAATTGTTACTGATTGTTTAAAACCAGCCCAAAAATCTGTAGTGCTTGTTTACAGTTTTTCTCCTAGGTTTTATGTAGAGAGTTGGCTGAAGATACGGGACATTCTCAATAAATCATGATGAGTTTCTGTTCCCTCTACTTTGAGCAACATCACAGGCAACCATTTTTAACAGTTCTGTTTGCTTAAAATGGTTTTCATAAGCACTTATGTCATGTGATTCAAGAGTGACCCCGACAGCCGTGGTGGTTCCCTCCCTGCCCCTGTGCAGCTGAAGGCAGTCATCAGAGTACGGAGCTGTTACCATTACACATGCCACTAGAGCAGTACATTTAGTGCTCCCTATAGCTTCCTGATAACGGTTCTTGAATTTGCTTCTTTGCTCTTTCCTAGGTACCGTAGTGAGAAGATGACGATGAGCTACACAGAGTACCTTGCCCATCGTCAGCATCATCACTTCCAAAATGGTATTGGGCACCCCCTTCCACCGTACAACCATTATTCCTGACACTGAGCCGCATGACCAGTCACTGGACCTCTCTGCAGACCTCTTCCCAGGAGACCCTGCCCCTTCTTGGTCTAGCTATCTCTATTACTGTACCATTTTATGATGATAGTTTCCGTTGCCATGTTGAGGCTGCTTAGTTGGTGAGGCTCAGCATGGCAACGGGAGGGAAAACTGCATTACTACAAAGATCCCATACTTTTTTTATTATTGAGTCACTGCAGATTTTTTTGCAGCATATATAGCTCTTGGGTTTTTTATGAAATTTTAAATTTCTACTTCATAACATTGAATTATATCAATCAAGGCTTTCTGTGACTGTGGATGGAAGGAAGAGTTTAAGGATTACAGTTAGGGATGCTTTGCTTAGCAAAAAGGCATTCGTGGCTTTCGCATTCATAGGTGTGACAGGGAATGAAACATATCAGATTCAGGTATTATACTAGACAATGAATTGCATTTTCCTAATGTTCTTAATAATGTTGTGTGTACAATATCTCACCCCCACAGGAAGCTCCCATGTAGCTATAAACATGATCTTCAGATCCAGCACCTACAGCCGACATGGCAAGGCTGACATCCAAATGCTTTTTTTGGATGAAGAGAAGCAATTACACGTACGATGAGAGGTGATGTCAACATGGCAGCATTTTCAGAATCAAGTGGTCTAATTGATTGGGCACGACGTAATCCAGTAGCTACCAGATACCTTTGTCTCCCATTCAGTGCTGGGAACCGAGGGCAGTCCGGCCCTGTCCAGACTAGTCACAACCATGCGTTTGTGCTGAGAGGAGGCCTTTCTCATCATCTCACATTAGGAGTCACGTTTGGTTTTCAAAACAGGTTGGTGAGTGGCAGATGTCATATTAGGAAAAAAATGGATTTAGATTTTAGTGCCTTTGACTATGACATTAACTATATGCTTATATATAAAATTCATAGAAAAAAATATAGCAAATAATGCCAGACATTCTAGCAAACTGTATAGAGTCTGCTCTGGCGTCAGGTTTTGGGGGATTTTTTTAAAGTGAGATTTTTTTTTTTCTTTTTTAATAGCAAACTTGCTTTGGAAAAGAAAAATCCATTTTGTTCTTTCTTCTGCTTTTGAACTTGTTGAGTTTTACCAACTCATGAATAGTTTATCAGATAAAGTTAACTATTGCTTAAAAAAAGAAAAAAAGACTGTTGTGAAAGCACAGGACAAGTATGCCATAATTTTACATGTTTTCATCTATTACAGGAATAGTACTTGAGAGCTGTAAGTACTGTGTAATAATTCTCATACCCCTCCACACGGTCGAAGAAAGAAAAGTGATGGGAACTTTTTCCTGCTGTAAAAATAGGATTTAGTAGCAGGTATGTGTGGGGTGTTTGCAAGCCCAGGATGTGGTAGGAGGCAGCTCCTTGCTCCTGTGCCTGCAGAACTCCCACTGATACCTGCTGTAGTTCGGTGCACGTTCTAGGGGACAATACATCCCATTAGAGAAAAGACCTTCCTAATACGAGTGAGGAAACCACAGCAAGCAGAAATTCCAGTTATTTTCAATAATGAATGTTTGTAAATGTAGAGCTATCTAAAATTCAAACAGATAAAATCAATTAAAATTCAATTGTTAAAAAAAAATAAATCAGGCTAATTGTAAATAGGGTTTCAAAACCAGATATGGATAAATTATGCTCGTCCTTATGTGAGGTTAGCTTTGCCACTTAATTTCTATGGAGGTTCTTGTAGAAGGTCTTTGGTATTCCTTCATCCACAGCATTTGATGTCCAAATATTAACATTTTCAGTTGTGATGCCTTAATTTACAAGCAGAGGGCCTGAAACTTCAGGAGCCAAGAGATGCCAGCTGGAAGCTGCAAAAATTAATAGATGTTTATACAGAGGCTATTTTGGATGATACTGTTGTCTTGTTTCTACTTGGGGAACACTTTTAAATGGATTAGGCTTCAAGTGGAAATGGTGAACAAGTGGCTACCTGATAAGAGTTGTGTTGGTTTTTTTTCTTGCCCTTATAGGGAAACTGAGCACAAACTGAATCATTCTGCTGCAAAAAAAAAAAAAAAAAAAAGTCATCCAACCCCATCTTTATCTGTCATCTCGTTACAGCACGCTCATGCTTCTGTATGAGCTCATTGTTAGAAGTTTTTTAAAAAGATCTATTATATATAAAAATATATATGTATTGAAAGGTGCTATTCAACCTCAAGCAGGTCACGTGACTGGTCATGCGGATCTAAAATCATATCAGATTTTTTAAAAAATCTTCGATATATGCAGATGTTATACAGAATTTCTTACCAGTGTAATAATGATATACTGATGAATAAACAATCCTGCAGGTTTTTAAGGACAAGGTCAGCAATACTTCCCACCATGGCTTGGGGGAGAAAAGGATAGTTTTGTCTCCTTTTTGTATACAGCATAATGCACAATGCATTTTTGTCTATCTCTTAGTAGCTGTTGCTTAAAAATATAGTTAAAAGGGTGTTATACAAACTGTAAAGGTGTGCTTTTGAAATGAGAGTTAATGCCAGACCCTTCTGGACCAGAGTTTTGTATCACTAATTAAAAAACTGTTACAGAGTCTGTGGTCAATCAGATTGTATGCTATTTTTTTGGAAAGATTGGAATGCTCAATCTATCTACAGTGTTTCTAGGGCACCTACCTCCTCAGCACGCGAGTGCTGAAAACGCCATGGATTGTTTCTGTGTTCTTGTGGTTGATTTGTACAGAACGTGCAGTTCACTGTGACACGCACTGGGACAGAACAGGTCTGTTTGCTTAAAGCTGATCAACAACGGCTTTCACAAATGTCATTCCCTGGTAGTTGTGTTTAGTACCCTTTTAGATATATTGCTGGGTTTAGATACCTTTTTTTTATTATTATTTGGGGTACTTTATAAGAAGTTAAGGTACAACCAAGTAGCTTATTTCACTGCTTTTTAAGTTGGAATGCTAATTTTTTATGATCACTACTCAGTTTGCCTTATTGTTGGGGCTGGTTTTTTTAATTCTTTTGCTTAATGTTCCCAAAAAACCCCCTGTTCTGTAAACTGAGTTAAGACGACAAAAGCGTAGACTTGACATGAAACCATTTCTTAGTCTTGCCTCGAGTGGCCTTCCTTCTGCCCAGCCAGCTGTAGCACTGACTTCTCCCCCCGGCCCCGCTGCGGGCGGTGGCGGGGAGGCTCGCTGGCGTCCCGACCTCAGACACGAGCACATCCAGGCGCTCACACCCATTTGCACACCCTGCCGTTTGTATACGGACCTCTCTACTTGTCCTCACATGTGCGGGTTTTTAAACTTGTTGTCTGGAGTAGGTTACATCTCTTATGTGTGTTAGATCGAACCAAAGAAGCCTCCAGCCATGCCCAAATGCTGCTCCTAAAGCCTGCCTTCCAGTCCTTACGAAATCCCTGCAGGATTAAATGTGTTAACTTTTTTATTTTTGTACAGTTTCTAACTGATTTTTGCTAGTGATGTTAATTGAATTAAGTTTATTTGGGGAGTCTGAATATCTTCTCCATTTAAATAAACTGGTGACTTTCCTTTTATGTTTAAAAAAAAAAAAGAAAAAAGTTAAAAAAAAAAAAAAAAAAAAGAGAAACCCAAAGTGTGCCTCTCAGATTTAAGGGTTTCTGGTTACATTTATTCTTAAGACCAGCAATGATTCTTTATATACAAAGATATGTTTTCCTCGTTTTTTATTACTGTTAAAGAAAAAATAAAAAATAAAAACCTCTTTCTTTGCTCTGGACCCAGTAATTGCGCTGGTACATAAACGCACTGAGAAAACAAACTTTTGTTTGAAACTTTTGTAACAACTTATGACTGTTTTTGTATATCAAAGTTGATTCTTTTCAAGATATTTGGATCTAGTTTCTAAGTTATTTTAGTGTTTTATATGTTACAAAAAAAAAAAATTACTTTAAATTGTTCACCAGCATTTTGAGTTATCTTTAATGCGATGGTGACACACAATGGGCTTCGAGCTACCTGGAGTAGCCTGTGAGGCCCCTCTTCTCCTTCCTTCCTTAGTAACTTGATTGATTACAATAATATCACAGATTACCTAAACCCCCTTCCTTTCTAACTAGATCCTCCTTCCTTCCACATTTAATTGCTATTAGTGTGAAGAAACTGTTGAAATGGGCATTTTAATATAAGTACGGCTTAAAAAGAGAAAAATGAGGAAAAAAGAAAAAAAAAAAACTCTCTAGAAGGTTATCTGTGGGTCTGTGAGATATGGCTGTGGAAAGATATTGTAGTAGTTTTAACACTATTGTTATTACCTTTTAAATCATTTACCCAATAAAATAAGGAAAAAGAATCACCATTTTTTTTATGTTTCTCTGCTTAATTGTGTGGCTTGGTCAATTTTGTTTTATTTACACATTTGCAGTTAGTGACAATGTTAAAGGCTAATGATGGGTTTAGGAATATTTTGCTGTGATTTAACTCTTTCATTTTGCCTCTTGTGGGAATGGATTGTGGCAGAAGCAAGGCACTAAGCATGCCAAGTTAAATCAGCATTTATATCAATTACATCATTAGTTATATCAGTATAGTTATCAGTATTTATACTGGTTATAAGTTAAATCAGCATTTATATCAATTACATCGGTTATATCAATAGTTATATCAGTATAATTATCAGTATTTATACTGGTTACCAGCTCAGGTTTGTACTTTTTATGTCTAACTTTAAATATGGAATTTTGTCCAGGCCGGGCCTCCTTGCTGTCTGAGAGGGGGAAGTGGTTTCAACCTCTCCAAGCAAAACTTAGTTGCAGAACCAGTTATACTGGTGTAACCAACAGGTTGCCAACGCTGGGTGTAGCAACGTCATTAAACACAATCACGTGGCAAAATGTGTATCAAAGAATATCTTGAAGTATTGCCTAAAATAATTTCAATACTTTCTTCATATTACCCTTAAGAGTAGTAGGTGTGATTTTGAAGAACATCTAGGCTTGTTTTGCCATGAGGGATGTCTTTATCTTGCCCATCGTATCTAGCTAACGGGTGGACCATGGTGCTGACCAGATTTTTTTGGGGAAAACCTTACAGTGTAGATTTTGCACTGAGTTACAAGGTTCCTGCAAAGCATGGAGGGCCAGGGAAGTGTTCTCCCCTCCCCCCCAAAAGCTTTAAATCTTAACCCAGTGGGGACATCTTTAAACTGTTTTATAGTTACACGGTCACAGTCCTGCTGATGACAAAACAAAGGAGCAGACAGGTAAACCCGACTTGGAGAACTTGCCTCCCTGAGCCAAATTCTTAGTGCACTGAGGCACCTTCTACTGGGTCGGAGTGAAAGGGAGTGTGTTTCCTCTGCAGGGTAGTGACCAAGACAAAGCGAGACATTTCTAACATCTCTCTGAAATTCAGATCTGATCTTAGGTTGTTTTGGTTGCTTTTGACTAATTCAATATTAACAGATCTCCCCCGTCTGTAGCTGCAAAGTCTTTGAAAACAAGCCAATAAAATCCATGTAACTTTTAGATGTTGACGATTGATGCAGCCATTACTCCATGTGCTTTGCAGCCTTGATTTAAAAGATTTTAAAAAAAAACCCCACCTGTAATGAGAAAACCTGCTTGAGTAAATAGCTGCCATTGTTTCAGCATTTCACAGCTTTGGTATTAGTCTGAATTGGGTAAAAACCTAGAAAACTCCCAGTCCACTGAGATGTATAGCTAGTTAAACACTTCCTCCCAGAAGTTTCCCACTCTTCTTGCAATGTAGTTATTGCTATAAAAATCAAACTAGCAAAATAGTACTGAGTATTAAGGACATTTCAGAGGTGCAAACTTACTTATTCTTACGTATATGTTGGTATCACACAATGAAGGGCTGACTTGCAATTAGAGTTCTGGGGAGATGCAGAGGATAATCAGCAGTTCCTGAAAAAGGTAATTGCTGGTTTAGTTCACCTTGGGTTTCCATAAAGCATTTCCTACTAGATTTCTACTGAAGTTGTTCTATCAGCCTTTATACTGGTCAAGAGAATTGGTTCTGTTCCCCAGCTGGGTGAAAACTTTAAACTTCTGCAGTGCACACACAGTACTACAGGTGGGCACAGCCAGTACCTGCTTTTGCCAGGAACCTCACACAATGAAATACCTGCTTGGCTGAGAAGTACTGGGTTCTAAGTCACCTTAAGCAAAACTACTCAGTGCCTGGCACGATTGGAATGATAACAAACTATACAGTATCCATTAAAATGCATTTATTTGTTTTAATTCAAAGGTTTAACAACTATTTGCCCAGCAATCTGGACTTGGGGCACAACAATGAAAAAAATCATCAGACCAAAATACAAAACCAAGTACACAAATTACCCCTTATTTGTAAATATTACCTCATAACCAAGTTTTAGCACATTAAAAAGGTTTACAAAAATTTATAACACTCTTACAAATTATTCAGAACTAAGAGCCTAGGTGGCAGCTGAGCCTCTCCACGTCCACCCTTGCCCTTGCCCAACCATCCTGTGCGTGGCCCAGAGGAGCTGGGACCTGCGAGTGTCCAAAGCCCTTGGTGCTGCAGCCCCGGCCGGGGCGGGTGGGAGCGCGGGGGGTCTGCCCGCTGTGCCACCTGCTGCCTCCTCTGCAGCATTCAGAGAGTGACTCCGGAAACGCAGAAATCATTCTTAAAAAAGTACAAAATTGACCCTGAAGAAAAATAAAGTCATTTAAAAAAACAGCTTGGCTTCGACTAAGTTACACTAAAAGCTGCGAGACAGATTTACAGCGATATCACTTCGAGTACGAGATCACAAAAATCAACAGGTTTGTTATGAGTCTTGTCACTGTAAAAATGAAAACATCAAAGTTGACCTGTCTGCCTGGAGAAACCTTTCGCCTCCGAACAGAAGGGCTGACAGATGCCCTCTTGCTGGGTTTTGGCCTTTTCAGAGCTTTGTTAACTATTAGGACAAGTTAATTCCTAAGAATCCGCCTCTAGTGAAACAGTAAGAAAACCAGCACATCTCTGTTTTCCATTAGCTATAGATGCATTGAAAATGAATGCCTGGGGTAGATGCAGGACTTCAGACATAAAAGTAAAGTACAGTACAGCAACTGTTGCAGGTTGCAAATGGCCATTTCTGAAAGGAAAAGATAATTGGGCTTTACAAGATGATATCAAATACACAGAAATAATCAAACCCCTGACTGTGGCCAGGAACAGATGGGTCCATCTCCTCTCCTTTAGATGACTGTGGCCAGGAACAGATGGGTCCATCTACAACGAGGAGGTACTCTCTAAATCTTAGAGGGAAGAATGGCCTGACTTAGCGTGTCCCCCAGTGTCAGCAAGGCAACGGCTGCTTAAGCACGAGGGGGTTCCACCAAGCCCTAAGAAGCTGAACCAAACCCAAGTGTAGGCTTGTGTTCGTAGACAGGGCCTTTTCACTGATCTATACAAGCATGATCAAGAGCTGTTCATTATCACCCTTCACAAAAAAACAAGACGCAAATTCTTTGGTGCTTAAACAGGAGGGAATTAAACTGCAACAAAAGATTTCGGGACATTTTGCCAGGGAAGGCCAGGACTGCCCTTTCAATTGTAAAATCTCACCACCGGCTACTGGGCAAGAGCTTCAAGTTATCTTGACACAGATTGTGCGCATCATGCCACAGGAGAGAATGCCATTAGCATTCAGGAACAGCAGTATACTTTTGCTCTTTAATTTCCAGCCTAAATAAGCATAAAAGCAACCAAAGAAATCACCCATGTACCATAACAGCCTATAAACAAACCATTCAGGGAAAAGAAAACCGGCCTCTGCCGGGGAAGAGACTAAATTACCCCAGTGGAGATTTAAGTGTTCTGCTCTCCCATTCAAACCAATATCCTGCACACTGAACAAGCTCTGTCTGATGCATATTCCAGATACCGGAGACAGCTGAGGAATAAAGGATATGAAGTTCCATGACATGAGCTTCAGAAGTTCATGCCCTTTCTGCTCTCATTCTGACCTGTTCTTCACCTTCTGTGAAGCTTGTGGCTCAGCTGTGCTCATACAGGTTCTTGTGGCACCACATCGTAAACTAAAATTAAATAAGTTTTAAAAGCTTTCAGAAAGGAGCAAGGGGAGGGAGGGAATAATTTAACACTTGAGCCTCAAGAAAGACGCTGAGGTGCTGACACGTGTCCAGAGAAGGGCAAGGAAGCTGGTGAGGGCTCTGGAGCACAAGTCTTGTGAGGAGAGGCTGAGGGAGCTGGGGGTGTTCAGCCTGGAGAAAAGGGGGCTGAGGGGAGACCTTCTTGCTCTCTACAACTCCCTGAAAGGTGAGGGTCAGTCTCTTCTCCCCAGTAACAGGCAATAGGGCAAGAGGCAATGGCCTCAAATTGTGTCAGAGGAGGTTTAAATCGGATATTGGGTTTAGATTGGAAAAACTTCTTCACTAAAAGGGTTGTGAAACATTGGAACAGGCTGCCCAGGGAAGTGGTGGAATCACCATCCCTGGGGGTATTTAAAAGATGCGTAGATGTGGCACTTAAAGACATGGTTTAGTGGTGGACTTGGCCAGAGTTAGACTTAACTGTTGGGCTCGATGATCTGAAGGGTCTTTTCCAACCTAAATGATTCTACGCTGCCTCAGCCAGCTTCATCCACATTGTACAACAAGCAAAGCAGCAACAGCTTACCCTCAAAAAAAGTGAAGGTCCCACCGCCTTCCCTCCCACCTGACTCCAGCTCCACCATTTGACTCTTAAGCAGCTCCAATACCCTAAAACCCTTATTGAGTGGAGCAGCTGGTTTACCTCAACTTTTTTGCTGAATTACCATGTTCTGTTAACATTTTAGCAACTGAATTTGGTATAGAAGAGTTCAACCAGCTCCAGCACCTGCCCTGGTAAGGTTTGGAAGGGGAATCTGAGCGTCCCGTTGGCACCGATGAGCAGTTCTGTCGGCAAACTCCGTGTTGGGAAATGAGGCCTGAAGTTTCTCGTGTGACACAGAACAACTGGAGCAGGGTAAGAGAAAAGCAGGAGTCACAGCACAGTGACCCAGGCAAACGCTGTGGCCGGGGGTGGGAAGGGAGGCAGGAGCCATCCAGAGTCAATGGTGCAAGTGGTACAGCTTCACCAAGAACCCTTTCCTCCCAATTGGATTTCCCTGGTGGCAGCTGGATTATCAGCGCCATTCCGCCTGCTGGATCTGAAGTCAGTTGGAAGAGCTCAGGAATTTTGCATTCCAAGCAAACAGCCTGCACTGAGCCAGACACCTGAGCTGATTGAAATGCTGCTGCAGTCTGAGTTGACCAGAGGCAGCCAATGGTGGCAAATAGCAGCTGTTCCATACTTGTTTAGAATACCCTGAAGCATATGACTATAGACAGGAAGTGTAATAGTATTAAAAAAAAAAAAAAGCTGCTACTACTTTCACATAATTCAGATATTTTTCCAGTAACTACAATATTTTGAAGGAAAAAATAAACTGAAAGATTCTTCAAAAAAATAAAATATATAAAGTTAAGCAACTAATAATGCTAAGTAACATTTGCAAAATTTGGCTAAAATCAGTCTACTGTAATACCAAACATTCTTTCTAAACAGCATTGAATCCAACATAAGGCATTTGGCCAAATTCTTAAGTAAATAAATAAACCATGATACACTTGACAGGAGCTATGGGGAGGGAAGAATCACTGTGCATCTCATTCAGCTCTTCATAAGAGATTAAGTACATTAATAGGGGTTATGCTTTAACATCTAGCACTGCACATCTTAGCATCTCCCAGCAACATCCCGCATTTCATCACAAAACACCAAATCTGCTTAAATAAACAGGAAGAACTTGTATCCCTTCGGCAGGTAATTAAGTGGTGTCCTGCAGACAGATTCAGCCCTTCCATACCAACACAATCTCTCTTTAGGCCCCACTCCACAAATACTTGGGCACCATCTGCCCAGCTTTACTGGGGCAGCAGCAAGACCACTGGAGGAAACCCATTATGGACTGAGACACTCAGTCCAGACTGAGAATAGGGGTTATGCTTTAACACCCAGCACTGCACATCTTAGCATCTCCCAGCAACATCCCGCATTTCATCACAAAACACCAAATCTGCTTAAACAAACAGCAAGAACTTGTATCCCTTCGGCAGGTAATTAAGTGGTGTCCTGCAGACAGATTCAGCCCTTCCATACCAACACAATCTCTCTTTAGGCCCCACGCCACAAATACTTGGGCACCATCTGCCCAGCTTTACTGGGGCAGCAGCAAGACCACTGGAGGAAACCCATTATGGACTGAGACACTCACAGGATCAACAACTGACAGAAACTCTCTGCGGGGAGTTCTCATTACCAGGTGCTTCGCTTGCTCGAGATGAATTCTGATTAAGACCATCAGGAGCCCTACAGTCCCTAAAACTAAGACTCACCATACACATTTGATGGATAATTTAGGTATTTGTCAAGCTGGGAGAGTGCAGTATATTTTTTAATGTGTGTATATATATATACACACACACACACATACACACACAGAGCAAGGCATGGAAGCAAGCCAGAAAACAGCTTGTAAATGAGAACGTAGAACAATATATTTCTGACTGAGGAGTACTTTTTTTTCAATCTTATGAAATGAAAATATTTGAAGTAGCCATTTATTCCCTCTCCAATGAAAATTTTTCTATTTAAAGAAAGAAAGAAAAAAAAAAAAGGCAACCACTTCTCATTCTTACTTTTCTTTCTTGAGGTATAATGACTGTACCTTAATTTCAGAATACATCTTCAGGTGATCCAGCTGGAGGAGGTATGATGGTTTTGTTTTATCTTACAAGTCACAGCTTTGACGACACAATGAATCTATAAATTGCAACAAACTTTTGTACAACAAAATTCCTGCAGCCCCGAAATATAATAGAGCTGCACAACAGACTCACAATTAACTGTCTGGAGGAACACACTCAAGATTTCCCATCTTTCGGCCCAACAGTTTCTCCTCTAGCCTCAGAAAATGTAACAGGTAACACATAGTTTACTTTTTATCATTCTGCCTGTCTACATCCTGTTCCCCAAAAGACGTGTTGACAGGAAGCTTTAGTCATACTAGTAAACTGGAACAGCAGAGGCCTGCACTGATTTGACGTTCTTTTTTATACCTGCATTGTAAAACCAGTGTACAGAATGTATTAGAGCTGTAGAGAGAGAACAGTGTCATGTTGTTTCCTCACTAACCACTCTGCTGAGCAACGATCAGCGTAGAACGCAGAGGAGGAATGTTTCAAAAGCTAGTAAGTAAAAAAAGAAAATGCTGATGTTTACATTGGACTTTGTATCTCCACTCCCTCTCCAGTCTAAACTAAGTGAAAAAACCCCTTTGTTCAAAGTCAGGTCAGAACAGCGGATGAAATATCATAGCTTATATGTAACATGGGCTTTCAAAATTATTTCAACATGTTTTTCCACTCACTTAAATAAAACCACGTCCAAAACATCAAGATCTGATGGGACTTAGCCAGACAGATATTTATCCACAGCAGCGTAGAAATTAAGTAGTCAATAAAAAAAAAAAAAAGATTTTTGAATGAATTATTGTTCCCCATCATTTTCAACCAGCTTAAAGAAAATAGAGTAGAACCTCATTGTTTTGCACTTAGGACTGGAAGATTAAGTGTACATCGTTTCACTGGGACCATTTTGCAACATTCAAGTGCTAAGAGTTAAGCCAGGGAGATGCACTTCAAGGTGCAATTCTGTTCACATCACTGGAGTGTCGTAATTCAGCTTTATTTCCTACCCTATGGTGTAAGTGTACTTATATTTAATGGAAAATGAGTCAAAATGAGGTAGCACTGCCACTCTCTTTGCTGGAATGTGGATCCTGGCCTAATTTTAAACAGTGGCTTAGCAAGATTCTACTGTAATTACACAAAATGTATAAAACACGAACCTTTTCCAGAATAAGGCCACTAATTTTGCCATCGGCAATAGGCAGTGAGAAACAGCAGTTAAAAAAACCTCACTTGATTATGGAGGTGTTTTTGAGGCAATAAACTGTGGGGAAAAGTATAAAACACATTGTCCTCTCATCCCTCCTCTTTGTTTTCCAGTATAAGTATCTCTGCTTCCTGTATGTACTACTCCATGGGGAGAAATTCAGTCTATTTTCTTAGGTGGGAGCCTAAGCAAGTCCATGCTACATTTAAAGATGGGGACAGCACTGTAAAACAGGAGGATTACGAGCTTCCCATGAGTCATAGTCATGACAGTCTGATGTCCAGATGCCCAGATTCGGTACCAGCGCCCATAAAAAGGATCTGAGACGGCTGGGCACAGCATGTTGTTCAAATTCACTTCTGTAACCTGAGAAAGCGACAACAAATTCAGAAATTAATGATATTTTTGTGTTGCACTGATTCAGACACCTAAAGTGGTAATTTTGAAATTACCTTAATAATCAAAAATATTTAGGTGACAATGCTTTGTTCAACACACGTAGGACATCTTTCAGAAGGAAAGCAGATCTCAATTCAGTTGTGTATTTAATAGATGGATTTATGCAGGTACAGAACCAATTTATTAAATATTTTACCAATACTTATGAGACAGAAATGCCCATTAGAACACGCGATTAAAATTTTGCATGCAAGTAGTCTTATCCATATATATCTGAACACTTTGAAAAACTAGTCAGTATTTTTACTGTGAATGAATGTACTTGCAAACTATCCATTTATTAACCTGTATTTACTTACCAATCCCAGAATCTGCAAGATGCTAAAATGATATACAAACATAAACCCCGTGGATAAAAGAGCCCACCAGAAATTGCAGAGTGGTTCTGGAGTGTAGATACCTTGAAAAGAAAGGAATACATTAGTGTTCAGCTGAATTGCTGTGTCCATCAAACACTCATGCATAATCCTCTCCCTTCTCCTCAGTGGATGTTAGGGCATCTGGCTTTAGCTGATAACCTCCTCAATACCATTAAAGTAATTAATATTCAAGAGCCTTATTTCTTACCTGGAGTGTCCTGAACAGTTTCTTCCCTCCTCTGGCTCCAGCAGTAAAATGTACAATATGTTACCTCGTTAAGCTTGCCTGTGTTTCACCAACACCAGTGATTTTTACCTCACTCTTCCTTCTAACAAGGAGTACTAAATGATTTTAAATACGGTAATGGTATGCAGTGAATCTTCAAAAATCAGGTTTTTTACACTTAAACACCTGCTTCTTACGGGAGCTATGACTTCAGCATGCACAGAACTAACCTTGGCAGTGGCAGTTCCTGCACAGCGCTCCAGTAGAGCATAGCCTAATTGCCATTTCCTAATTTTATGGTTATTTAACAACTATTTAAAAAGTAACTTGCACCAATAATGTCTAGGAACAAAAAAAAGCAAAAACACTACAAACAATTTTATAATCAGTAAATGTCACAGATACTGTAAAATATTTTTTCCCTTCAAATGAAGGAGCAGATATCACATTATTTATTCTTGCGTTCACTTGCCTTGCTCCTCCTGAAAGTAGGTTTTGTCAATTTTTGACAAAACACAATGTCAAGTGAGCCAGAATGTACCAAGGAAATCAGATCTAATAAAAGTACTCTTAGATACAAGCCTATTTTTGGTATTGAATATTCAAACATCATATGGTGAGAACAAAAACAGTTTACAGAGTTCTCAAGCCTCTTACTAAAAGACATGAAAATTTCAGTATAAGATACAGGGAAAAATTATTTTCTTTCTGACTTTAATAACTTAACCTAGAGACACAAGAGAAAAAGACACACAATGTCAAGCTGCTCAGCTGCTGTAAGAAGTTGTAGAATTTCAGATGATTATAAAAACACACTGGCTTTTTTTATCTGCCTTTGTCTGCTCTCTGATCCATTAGATATTATTAAATATTGGAGTGTGCATCCAGTACTCAAAGGACAGCTTACAGCACAGAGTGTGATATTCCTGTGAGCCTTTGCTAGCGACACAGCCAGTAACCACCAGGAAGACCCAACAGACTTCAGCATATACTGTACAAGGCTACTGGGAACTCAAGTTACTACACGTGCGTGGCTGCTAAAGCTGCTATAATTATGCCTATGGATATTACCATATGTAGATAAAGGCAAGTAACTTTGCTTTACCACACCACCATGTAACAGTGCATCCTGTCTCAGGGTTAAAATCCCTGGAGGACTGCTTTCTCAATGCCTCTTGCCCTTTTACAATTCTTTTCTGCATAGTTTTCTTCCACCGTTTGTACCCATCATTCCAGTTCAGGTTAATTTTGCAGTAGATAATAATCTGATTATAACCTGAAATAATCTAATTTAAATATCGTTTTGTGAATGTTACAAATTGAAACTTACCTATGCTTTATTGTCTAAAACCACACATCTATTCATTGTCCACTCAAAATACCATCGCTTCTCTGCCAACTGGCAGGGAGGAGTTGATCATGTGCTTGAATGACAGCAGCACATATGCACCCCGTATATCACTCACTAACTTTAATGAGACACAGTATTAGTGTAATTACCTAAGATACAACAGCACACCGCATTTTAGTAAGCAAGCTGTGACTTGGTGCAATCATGAATAATAGGTGCAGAGAAGCTACTCTGAAAGCATAAGGCAGCTCATAAGATTTCTTAGCCAGTGGGTAGGTGAAGGTCAGAAGCGTCTGAACTATAAGCAAAATCCAAAGGTAAAAGTGACCTCTACAAGACCAGCTTTAAGTGAAGTGCCCCACAGGTAAAGGGAAAACACCCACAACAGTCTAGTTCTTTGAACATACTTCGCAAGGGGGATCTAAGAGCTGGCACCCTATCGAGAAAATAGTACAGGAGGCTTCACTTAAACAGCAAGAATATTCATTAAACTCCACTGCCTGAAAATATCAGATACATGATACCACCTTTTTCATGACAGGGAGCAAGAGAAGAAACAACTAGCCTTGGTCTCAGAGCTCAGGAGACCATGGATCTGGTTTGGGCTGCACCTACTTCAAGTGACCTGCTCAAGCTGTACAGAAACTCCTTGTGCTCCTCCTCGGCTGTAGGGTAAAGAAAACATCATTTGACTTGCAAAGTGGTTTTTGTATTGTCCTTGAAGGTTTAGGTGCATGTTTAACCCAGATGCAAAACACAAAATAAAATTTAAATGTGGTATCTAAAAGAGCTCCCAGGAACCAGCAGAGTAGGGCTGTACCAAATTTGTTTTCATGTGAACTCGCCCGGTTGGCAGATGCCTGTGATGTTTCAAAAGCATTCGACAAAGCCCGAGTACAGAGGGCAGTAGTCTAGAAATGTAAACACTCAGAAAAGCTAGAATCCAGAGACAACGATATTTGGGGGACATACAGTGCAGGTAGTACATAAAGTCTAAAATAGAGAAGCAAACCCAGCCATGAAACAAGCCTGGAGGGAGAAAGCAGTCAAGGAAATTGCACAAGATGACAGAACAGATCAGTGGCATAATTTGGCTTTGAACCCAAGCTTCTCGTGTCCGGCCTCAATTTAGTCAGGGAACAGAGTTTCAGAAGTCACTCAGGAGAGCTGTGCAGGTTCCTGAAGCAAAGGATCTTGCACGGCTACATCCTCTCTCTATTTCAAAACTTCAAAAAATACATTAGCAACTCTCAACCTCTACAGACTATTGATCTCACTATATATTAGAAAAGTCCCTCCTTGCTAGACTTTCCAATCTTGAAAATAATAGTGTGATTTTCAGCAGTATCATTATTTGGACATCAAGAGACAAAAGGGTAACAATGACCTCCACACAAAAGCATTCCAGAGACCTCTGGATTCCCAAGTGTGCTTTGGAAAACTAATTTTCAATTCATACCTGGGATATTTTCTATACATGTCTCATTAGATAAATAATCACTATAGATTTTATTACTCTACAGTCCTGCTATTCAACAGATGACTGTTTAACAGAGCAGTGTGGTCTATTTTCTGTTCCACACACTCTGTTAACAGAAACATCCAAACATGAGAATTGAGACCCAGCTGAGTGGGGCTGAATGGCCCATCTTGGCTTTGGCAAAAGCTACTTACTGCTCCCATAGGAAATCAATTTGCAGAGGTAGCAGTGAGATTCACTCTCTATTCACCAAGGATCACAGGCAATTCTTTTATGTTAAATTATTTCAAAAAATTCAGTCCCACTGCCAGTCTGGCACTTATGACATTCTCAAAAATGCTCACACCCTGGACAGTTGAGTCCGTTCCAAAACAGGGTCATCCAAATAGACTGTATATTTGTTCTTGTGTTGAAATAGCACAGCACTGCATATTTCAGTTGAAAGTAAACTTCATTATTTCAATAACATTGATAGGAAAGACTTGATATAGATTGAAGAGCTTGGGGTTCATCATCTGCTTCTGCAACAAGAACTTGTTGACCTTGAACATGCCAAGCGGTTAATTTTATCATCTAGGAAAAGGAAGCATGGCTTTAAAAATCTAAAGATCAACAGAGACACAATTTATTTTATACTAGCCCCCGTTCCCCCTCGGCAATGTCTTGTGCTAGTTCTAGGGTTCTTAAAAAATATTATTTTTATTTTAAGTTCTCAAAACATAGACTTGTAAGAATTTGAACGCACTTAATAGAAAGTAACACTCCTTTTGTATTTCTGTGAAAACCTAAGGCAGGAGAAAATTACTCCACTGTTTGACTTAGAACCTAAATATAGTAATTTTTTAAAAATTTAGTAGGGTGTTAAAATAATATCTTTTTCCAAATTAATGTTGCTTGCTTTCATTCCTACTATATTTGATAGAGCTTTACCAATTTCCCGGCCCAGCACGCTCTCCTGCAGTAGCCTCACAATTACAGGTAGACCTGCTTAATCCAAAACTCAGAACAACTATTACAATTCCTTCATTTTCAAGCTTATGAAAACATGAGGGCAAATTTATTTCCATTTTAGTTCCCTTGATCTAAGGGTTAATTCTAGTAGTGTGGTCTATCAAGCTAGCAGAGAGATAAAACTTCCTTTCCAGGGGAAAACAGGAAAAATGTTCTCAAGAGGATAAGCCTGAAATCCACTGTTTCCCCTACAGCTGTTCTGAATCTATGTGTAGATTTCAAAATGCTACCTTATGCCAGGAGATTTCCATTTCCCTCAGTGCCAGCTACTCTCGTCGCAGTCAGCTCAGACAGGGTCTTATATTATCCTCTCCTCTCAGGAACCATTTTTTATATTCCATAAAGAAACAGCAGCAGTTCTTCCATCTATTGGCACATACCTTTCTATGCTTCTCTATCTCCTAGGGAGACAGAAGCCTTTAACAGCCCTTGGGCCCACTCAGAGAATGCCAAATTAACTTCCCTCTTTAGTTTTAAGTGTTTCATAACAGTTTCATATATTTGGTTTCATAATAGGTCACCATAGTTTCAAAGGAATTGTAACTGCCCAGTGCATAAAGCTCAGAGGGTCACACGACAGAGATGTGTCCCCTCCTCTTCCTCTCCAGCTCTCTTAAATCATCAAACAAGATTATCCAGAAACGATCCAGGTACCAGAGGGCCTGCGTGTGAGCCCACGGCCAGAGCACCAGCACTGGCCTCCAGCTGTGGGACAGGGCCACAGCCACCCCGCTGCCCCGGCACAGGCACTGCCAGACAGTGAACCAGGAATTCACAGCTAATACATGGGATTCAGAAGGCAGAGAAAAGCTGGAATAGGAACGTGGAGGCTGCCAGCAGGAGAATAACACACAAGAGTTGACAAGTCTCCAAGTAATTAAGAGTTTCAGCATGAGCTGTACCGCACATTATCATCCTCCAGTGAGGATGGAGATAGGTAGTCATAAATCTAGTTTAACTATATTCAAATAGATAGTGATTTTTCTTCCAGATTACTACTAAGGTATATAATAAAGCCTGCTTTATAACCTAACATAAAAGCTAAGGAAAGATATAGCTAACCACAGGTAAGTGTCACGAAGTGGGGAAAGGGTACAACAGCTAGAAATGTCCTTAAACACAGTAATTCCTTACTCTTGCCAGCAAGTCCTAACAGCCACCAGAGAGCACAAGTTTAGATCCCCAATTGCTTTAATTGCACTTTCCTAGTTTACAGCCAGAGGAAAAATGATCCTTTAGTCTGTAGTTGGTATCTGTGTTCTACATCTCACAACGTCGCCCAGCTTCTCATTAGGTAAGAAGCGCTGCACTGCCCTTAGGAAAGCTGGCTGTACAGGGCTGCTTCTCTCCATCTGTCTGAAGAGCAACAGAGGCAGGCTCCATGAGATAGGGGCCGGGGGGGGGAAAAGCAAAAAAATGAACTTCTACTGACTTTCTGACAAAGCGTAGAACTTCTGATGCCACTTAGATTGAAAAAGAAAAGGCTTAATGACTTGCATCGAAGAGACAGCTTCTTTATTGCTTATAAAGATACAGCATTTGCCTTATAAGCTGAAAATTCTGACTCTGCTCTCAGCAAAAAACTCAACTACTTAATTATTTAGGGTGTGTATGTCTGTCCACCTGTGCACAGCTTGTGAATCAGCTCTTAAAATACATGGGGTCAGACCACAGGAGTGTCCAGAATTCACAAGGCCATTACTGTCAGTTTTGGCTCCAAAAGAAGAATCCCTCCCCTCCAAAAGATACAACCAAATCAATTTACTCTCTCCACAGTGTGGCCAACCTGCATTTGAATAGTGAATTTTGAGCATTTGCAGGGCCGTTGTGACAGAGTGGATGCTGGAGACTATCCCCCCCTGCAGGCTACAGGGTGAGGACCACACAGCCCTTCGTGGCACCAACACAAAGGCCTCTGATTAAGCATATATGATATTCTGGAATTTCACGTACAGCTACTCACACAACAGATTGCTCCTTAGAGCGACAAAACCCTGAAAAAAACCAAACATCACTAATAACTTTACGAGGTAGAAAAGTATGTTAAGTCAACTAAATAATGCTGGGGATCTCAAAACACAAGGAAGTTCATCTCCTCAATTTCTCTGCTGGGGAGCTGCTATAAATTAACCCTTATTTCAAACTGTCGTGAAATGGTATCATCTGCTCACAGCACTCAGGAAATAACAATTCCACTTTGATTAAGTTTCAATATGATCTGAAATAAGGTGCTCATCTAATCCTGTCAAATCCATCCGAAAACCTGACCAAATGAGCTTAAGGGCCAAGACAGTCAAGAACTGTGAGTCTCTAAGGCCAATGCAGTGCAAACTACATTTTTTTTTTCATTACGTTAAGAGTATACATTAGAAAAACTAAGTTGACCTGAACACCACTGAGGGTCTTTAATACCTTGATCTTGCCAATGCGTTAACCAGAAGGTCAGGTTAATACACACAATAGTTGTGGCAGTTTAAGACATTACACTTTCTGAAGCTGCCATCTCCCTAAGCCTTCTACCAGCAATCTATACCCCAGTAGCACAAAGTACACTTATCTGGGCATACTCATATGCTTCAGAAGACCAGCTTAGCTGTAGGTGAAAGCGGTTTGAGGAGTTTTTAATGAAGGAGTTGGTTCCATGGTCTAAATCTCTGCTGCTGTGGTTCCCATCTTCTTTTCACCTTAACAATTCACTCATTGCACCTCCTTTTTGCCAATCCTAGCACTCAGATGATGCACAGTGAACCAATCCAGAAGCTACAAAAGCATTCATACTTTTTTTGACAGGGAAGCAAAGGTCTCACCTCCTAAGGACAAGAGAAAACAGGGACCTACAGCTCTGGTTCAGCCTATCCCACTATTTCGGGAGGGCTGTTTCCTAATCAGATGCATCCTATAGTTTTTGTCAAGGTTCACAGGTGATATGAGGTGAGACTCATTCAGGAAAAAAGTTGCCAACTGCAGCTATACTTCATGTAAGAACTGCCTCGAGTTCTCAATCTACTGTGCTGGCCCATTATAACCGCACTACATCTATTTTGCATGAGCACCTCTTGCTGCAGCCAAGAAAGACCTGAGCTGTAGTGCAGGAGCATTTCTGTTGTCTACCCTGGCACGCAAGTGCCCACACACCTGCATGTGTGCACTCAGAAAATACGTTAGAAGGGGAAGTATGGAAATTCATATTCACTCAGTACAGAAGGGAGGGAGAGGGAAGAGGAAGAGAGAAAGAGGCCTTCATCCCCAAGAGGGAACACATCCTTGAGCTTCAGCAAGTTCACTGAAGCCTGAGTTCTGAACATCTCTCTCATCAATTTGATCCTGAGCATGGTAATGCCCCCACACTTACGTGGTGGGGTGGGGGGGACGGGACACACACAACATGAAGGCGATGCTGCCACTGCAAAATAACCTGTCTTCACCACTGTAACGAATAGCAGGGAGAGAAAGAAAATAAATGATTACAGCCCCTGCTTACTGTCACCCAGTTTCCTTTCAAAAAGGAAATACTTCAACAGGTAATCGAATGTGTGAGCATCATTGGTTTGATACTTGATTAGGGTATCTTTCTTGATATGCAAGACAGACATGCAGTTCTGTATAGAATGAGCCTCAAACCAACTCTGCTTCAGGTGTTCTGCTCAACCTTCCTTTGAGAAATGTTACAATTGAGATCCTATTAAGGCCATCAGTAATATTGGCAGATTCCAAATAAAACTGAAGTAGTATATTTTTCCATAAACAATCCATTCCTTCTCATTTTTCCAGTTTCACTACCCTTCAATTCTCCCAATCATAATCCATTAGATTCACTGATGGAAATTACAATACAGAACTAAAGCTGCATGCTGATCAACATCAGTGATGAAAAAGCAATTTTCACAAGATACAGTTAGGATAAAGGGTGTGATTTACTCGGAAAGTACTTTAAACAAAGGTGCTAGTGAAATCACAAAGTATTAACAAATGTTTTCTATCAAATTTTTCTATCAAACATCAGGCCTCCTGTGGCACTAACCACAACTACTACAAAAGTCCATTGGCATTTTGCTAATGAGGTGTTACAGTCAGGTTGGAGATCAGGAGCCAACTGCATATGAAAATGAAGAGTTATTAGTTACACAGCCCAGGGCAATCTCAATTGATAGATTTAGTCAAAAGTTCTTTTAGAAGCTTCACTGCTGTCATGTCAACATTAGATGGCAGCAAATACCAGTAAATTAATAAAGGGCAAAAATTTATAAAACTGCACTCGGGTGACAGCTGTAGAACTCACATCCCTTCAGGCTGCAGACACAGTCCTATGGGCCCCAGGAAATGGGTGCCGAAGAACCTAGAGAACCCTTACTTCAAAATAAGCCAAACCAACCAACCAAAAATTGAAGGAATACATCAAGTGACATCCAAGGTCAAACTCTAAAGCAAAGGAAATACATGATGTTGAACAGGAACTTCAAGACCATCAAAAGAAAAGAGGTTTAGTGACACCCCAAGAGATTGTTTTGTCATTGCCTACAGAGTAGTTCATGGCTGGTTAGACCTTCTCCCTCCTCTCCCCAGACCCCCCTCTGCAACAATTTGCAGTTTGTGTAACATCTACAACTATACTGCACTTTAGCACTATTTGCCAGAATTTTAAGATATTAAAGATGGATTAAAATTAAATGGGGTTGGTTATATTTTTCTGGTAAGAGGAAAAAACAGAACGATCTGAAGTATGATACTTCACTTTTCCCTTTGGATCATTTTTATTTAGTTTCACTCAGCAGTGAAAAACAAAAAGATTACAAACCTATAGCTAGTAAGTGTGAACACTTGTATAAAATACACAAGATTTACCGGAATTGAAGCAGTTGACTGTGTTTGTTCTTCTAGCAAATGTTGACCATTTGCTCAATTGTATCCCATTGCTTGACATCACATCCTCGGGGTTTTCATTAAAGACTACTGAACATCTGTACTATATAAATTATAATCTCTTATTTCCTGGATTAAACAATTTATTTCTGCCAGAAAATGCAGCTGGAGACATGTCAACGCTAGAGGGGGGTAGAGCATCACACCAGATGAGTGCTGCATTCTCTTCTAAGGAGAGACAATTAGAAAAGTTACTGGCCAGTGGAACTATTTGGGATTCCCAGATTTACTGGACTACTACGGTACATGTGAACGCAAAATAGTAATCTTGTTAGAAGAGACAGGAAGCAAGTTAGTTCATTTCACTAATATGTGTCAGGACTTTTCATTAGAACTTCAGAATGTCAGGAATTTATCTAACTAGCTGACTTATATTTATGTGAAGACATAATAATAATTTTTTTTCATCTCATTTTAAGTTGCAGTACTTCTTAAAGAGACATCCAAGGAGGCAAAAGTCTTAAAAATACATCCCACCCAGAACTTAAAATGTTGCAAGATGGCAGAGATGCTACTCAAGACACGAGTGCACATTACACAAATATTCTTCATATCCCTTTGGGCAAAAGACCATTTTTCAATTCCCATTTCAGTGCTTGGCACAAGTCTTTGTTACCTGGGTTACAACTCCAACATAACACCAGAAACTATGAAGTAACAACACAGAAAAGAGTAAGAGTAAAGCCTGTGGTCACCATGAAGCACAGCTTCTTCATTGCAAGGGGCCAATTAAAAATGTACAGAGTAAATTGCAAACCTACCTCCTTTCCGCAGCAGATAGATGGGCACAACATAAAGCATCACGTGCTGGATGTAATAAATTTCCATTTCAAATGGAAGCTGTGGAAAAAAGAAAAATATTTGTAAATGTTTTTTAATCGCTAACAACTGAGTTACAAGGAACCATTCTCCTTACGACCCATGGCAATCCCTTCAGTTCGGTTATTTTACACCTATGTATATTAACAAAGAGATGGCATTAAAGGTCAGGGCTTCGAAAGTGCAGCTAACGGTACCATCCCATTCCCCCTGCCACAAACACAATACAGCACTTCAAGCTGACAATTCTTAAAATTAGCCAGATGCACAACAAAGAAGGAGTAATGCCAGATTGCTCTTTTCCCTTTCTTAGTTAGTATAAATTACCAATAACAAAAATCCAACAAACCCTAAAGTAATCAAACCAGAACCTATACACACACCATATGACAGTAGCCTATTTAGAAAGAAAATATAATTGCTACATTGTGAGTGATAGGGCTCTATAAATGAGGTCTGTTATATATAAAAAGTATATAAATAAATATATAGAAGTAATGACTCAGGAGGCTTGTTCAAAGATCAATAGACCTGATTTATAGCAATCTGCACACATGTGTGAAACTGAACTTTCACCAAATATATAACTGATATTTTATTGTTTTTACAGAGAAACTGCATATCTATGTAAACAAGTGATCAGTTAGTAGTAAATCAGGTATTTCTCACCTGCTGACAACTTTGGGGAAATTACAATTAGTCATTTGTGTGGTTAGTAGTTGAATTCATGTTACTTCTTAGAGAAGTCAAACAGACTGCACTAAAATAATACTGTGTTAAAAATAACTTGAACCACAACTCTGAATTTAATTTGAGCCCCTTAATCCAGACCCAACTAATTCTTGCTCCTTATCAGTTAGAAAAGGCGATGTACTGTATTTGAAAGCTATTCCCATCTGTAAATGCCTTTGCCTATATCTAGTTGTTAAACTAATACAACACATTTAAAACTGAATAGTAGTAGGAAAGATTCAAATTCAAAATGTAGAATTCAACTTCTTGCTGCAGCTAACTTACAAAGCTGGAAAAACACACTTTTCCATTATTTTTCAGAAGTGAAAACTGGACAAAACCACCACACAAGTATGAAATCTCACAGGAATAACAAAGCCACTAGCTTGGGTTCAAACGCAGACTCATTCTATCACTCTAAAGGTTAAAGTGAATCCAGACACAAGACCCACCATTGTGGCTTGCTGATGGGAAGAAAAAATAAAGGAAAAAAAAGCATGCCTTCCTTTTCTATTATTGTTCTGAAACACTGGAGTCATAGCATTGAAAGAGTCACTACAAAAATTTCTACAGCAACAGAAGAGAGGTTGAAACAGAGTTTGGATTTCTTCCTAAATAGCAGTCAATAAATAGCTGGTAATTAATATATTGATCTTTTAAATTCAACAATTCTTATATCCTATTTTGAATGTAAAAGATGCTAAAACCAACAGCTGGATTCTGCCAGGGTATTTCCCCAGCTGCACATTATCACAGTGTCCTGACCGCAGCCTCCAAGATGTTCAGCCAGCTCTTGGGAGGCTAGGCTAAAAAAAAAAATTCTTCCATACAATCTGTTGGGTTATTTCATTCCAAGTATTCTGTAACAAAACATAAAACCAAGCAAGATAGTAGTGTGCAAAAGCAAGAACTTCAAGTGAGTTGTGAGGTTTCCTGAATCTGAAACCTTTCTGCTGTCCCTTGTTGAAAGACACAGAGGGAGAAGTGAGAGAATCAAAATTATTTGGAAAGAGGCTAAAGTCTCTTAATTTACTTTCCCTAACTGGAGAAAAAGCTGCACCTCTCCCAGTTGAAACAGGCACACTTCAGAAACAATAGCTCCAGCTATAAACAACACAACGTGAGGCACTCACTCCTGCCAAGGAGCATTCTCTATTTAGTATCTGTGGCCGCTGCACTCGCTGAGTTGTGAGGGCCAGTTACACAAACATGACGCTCAGGACACTTCCGAGAACAGAGTAACCGTTGTTGTGCTGCACTAGTGTTGACAAAATTTTTTTTGTGTAAAACAAAACATCTTTTTTTGACTATGAAAGATTGCTTGTTCTGAAGCCTGGCTAATTATGCAAGTGCATTTCCTGGTGCAGAGCTGCAAAAGCAGAGTCTCTGTACAACCAAGCACTCAAGTTGTACAGCCAGGCTACAACAAACAGAAAAAGAACAAACATAGAAGATGAACTATAAAGTTGTTCCGAGCAACTGACTCACCTAGCTCTAAAGGTCTTGTCTATAAATTGTTTTATCAGTAAAACTCTCATTCACAGATAGCAGACAGGTGCCTTTTACACAGAAAGAGAAACTGCGAGTGAAGACAAGGTAGAAGGGATCATCCATCAATCTAGGATTAAAGAACCTCCTTGTGAAAACAAGTACTTCAGCAAGTGGTAAAGTTTGAGAAATCAAAAAAAAAAAAAAAAAAAAAAAAAAAAAAAAAAAAATGTTGCCAAACAACATTTGATGATACAAGTGAAGAAAGTAATTAATCCTGCAGGGACAACAGAGGACTAATTAGGAGAAGAGCACAAA